GGCCGTGTCCCACATACAGCAACTAGAAGGATGTGCAGCTATGACATACAACTATCTACTGGGGCTTTGGGGGAAAAAAAATAAATAAATAAAATTATTAAAAAAAAAAAAAGAAAAGAAGAAAAGATTTAGTTTGATCACAATTTGTTTGACTGAAATGGGACAGTTTCCTGTTTCAAATATCACCAAAACATATTAAGCTAATTTGAAATTACAAAGATAAAACATAGCCTTCGTGCTCTAATTTACAACACTATGAAATTAGAAACTTATTCTAAAGAGAAGGACTGGCATCTTTTATGTTAGAAAAGTGACACACAAGGGTAGCCTATGGCCACTGATGAGTGATATAAAAATTATTTGAGTTTTGTTTTTACATTTTTTCCCAACATTTTATTGTGAAAATTTTTACACAGAAAAGTTGAAAAATTATACAGTCAACACCATATACACACCATTTAGATTACACAATTACCATTCTGCTAAATTTGCTTTATCACATACTTCTCTCTTTCTCCATCAAAGAGATACTATTTTGAAGGGTGCGTACTACTGATAACAAAAGTGAAGAATGTTTTCCGGAGAAAATCACGTGGGAGAAGATTGCTTCTACTTTTGATTTCTTAAAATTAATTCTAGATGAACGGACAAAAACCCACCATCAAAGACTTTTTGAAGAAAGCAAGTCTCATGTCCACTGCAGGGCCAACACCAATGAGACCTGTCTCCTCATCTATTTCTGAACCCTAAACTTTAGCCCACCAAAATAACTTATGTTCACATTAATTCTGAATCACTAAGGAAAGTCAAATTATATTTGGTGTGCTCTGAGTAGGCAAGGGAAGATATAATATATTTTAGAAAGCTTTGCATAAAAACAAAAATTTAAGATTATAAACTTTAAAGAATATTCCTGGGCTATTTGGAAAACCAGAATATGTTTTTGAGCTAAAATTATAGTACAATTATACATAACTGTATACAACTGAAAATGTCTATTATAAATCACGATTCTTTCCCTTATCATTTCAGAAATGAAAGACTAAATTCAAACAGTGAGAACGGAGACTGCAGTCAGAACTTTTCCAACATAAAATAGAGCAGTGTTATGCCTGCTGAGCATATGTCTGTAATTCCTGTAAAATAAGTTCTACTCAAAACAATGTTATAAAATATTTTATGTTTCACATAGCCATTTTTATTACAAAATTACTTTAAACCTAGATATTGATCAAGATAGTAACTTTTATAAAATTGCAGTGGAGAAATGTAGATGAAATAAAATCCTTTACCTCCATTCTCATGATAATCCTATTGTTTCTGGTTGTGATGCTCATTAAATGCTGGAACCTCAAATCTCTTGCTTGAAGACCTAATTCTTGATATAAGTCAGTTTTCTTCCTTTCTATAAAAGAAATATTTTCGATAAAAAGAGTGGGCTCAACCAATAAATTGAAGAGTTTAGATTTTTATATCTTACCAACATCAAGATAATTTTCTACTACTACCAGAAACAAAAGCTAAAATGAGTCTTTAATAATGATTTTTACCTCAAAAACATATGCAGGCTAAATCTGGTCAAACTTTATTCTTTTTTCCTCTTATCCATACTTCATAAAATTTCTCTGCACTTAGAAGCCCCTTGGGACCAATATAAAAACCACAGCTATACATCACTACAGTATCAATTTGTAGCTCTAGAGACTGGTCATCTTTTTAAAATATGAATGCTACAGAACTACATTTTCTATTTTTTCTCACTACATTATCTTCAGTATTTTAAATCTGTGAACAGTTGGGCCGGCGCCGTGGCTTAGCGGTTAAGCGCGTGCGCTCCACTGCTGGCGGCCTGGGTTCGGATCCCAGGCACGCACCAAGGCACCGCTTCTCCTGCCATGCTGAGGCCGCGTCCCACATACAGCAACTAGAAGGATGTTCAACTATGACATACAACTATCTACTGGGGCTTTGGGGAAAAAAATAAATAAATAAAATTATTAAAAAAAAAATCTGTGAACAGTTAAGTTTAATTTTCTTTGTTCTTGCACTAATACAAAATGAGAAAATGAAGTCAGTTCTCATACCAGATTCTCCTTACCTGAAAACTAAATTTGTTACCTAAGAGAAAGCATAACAGACAAGGAAACTCAAGAAATGATACTGGTTATAGTAATATCTGAACTTGTAGCATCAAACCACACCTGTGACAGAGCTCTAAGTAGAAGAATCTTTTGAAAGAGATATTGAACAAAAAACACCCAAAATATTCCACTAGGATTTCAGCAATAGCAGGCACAGCAGAGACCAGCGGGTTGGAAGTGCATAGGAGATCTGAAACCTGCATCTGAGGTCAGACAGTAAAGTAATGCTTAGTTTCATTTTAAAAAGTAACTGTCCATAAGAACAATTATCAGCAGAGTTCCTTCTGACTGCCATCCAGTGCCCGATCCCTCCTGTCTTCTGTCACCCACTGCAATGTCAGCGGTATTATGTGATTCTGCCTTAAACACGGTACAGGAGGAGGTGAATATAAGGACTAGTGCTGTGAAAGGGAGACTAAAGAAGAGAAAGAAAAGGGAAAAGAGTGTGTCTCTGCTCCAGCTGCACACCAGCCTCTCCCCTCCAAAACATTCCTTTAATGTCCTGTCAGAGCAAAGTGTTCCCTGACAGAAAAAAAACAATTCTGGGAGAATGTGCACAGTCCAGGTATTGCCAGTTCCAATTAGGACTGATGGACAAATGCTGAAGAAAGATTTACTTCAATACATCCACATACACAAACAATATTCTACTCAAAATACTACAATTTCATAATATTCATCAGATCACTCATTCACTGATTAAAAAAGAAAAGCGAGGGGCCGGCCTGGTGGCGTAAGCAGTTAGGTATGTGCGCTCCGCTGCAGCGGCCCGGGGTTCGCCGGTTCGGATCCCAGGCACGCACCAACGCACCACTTGTCAAGCCATGCTGTGGCGGCGTCCCATATAAAGTGGAGGAAGATGGGCACAGATGTTAGCCCAGGGCATCTTCCTCAGCAAAAAGAGGATTGGCAGATGTTAGCTCAGGGCCGATCTTCCTCACAAAAAAAGAAAAGAAAAGAAAAGAAAAGTGATTTAGAAGAAAATTAAAGATACTCACCAAAAGAAGTAACATTTCCCTCTTTGTCAAATTTTGTCTGAAGAGAGAAAATAAAAACAAAATATTATTTTCTCCCAAATGAGTATGCTATTTATGGCATTATATAGTATTATGATAATATCTCTCAAATATGGAAATGCAGATATAAATCACAACTGCCCTTCTTTCAGTTATATTCAGTTATGAGTTCAGGGTTAAAAAAATCCCTTTTCCCTTTGCTAGGACAAATCTGACCTTGGATTAACGTTCTATCTTGGTTCCCCCGGAAATGTGATAAAGGAGTATCAGTGGTGTCACTAGGCAACATTGCTATGGTAAAAGTGCCCAATGACTGGTAGACTGCACTGGACTGGGAAGACTGAACCAATTACAGACACCTGGTGGGAAGCCACAGCTCTGCCTTTCTGAGTGTGGTGGCTCAAGTAACTAGCCATGTTCCTTGTGGGAGCCCTGGATGTGCCTCTGCGATGGTTATAGGAGATACTAGCATTAGAGGGTGTGGGGATTACAAGCCATGGTGGATCTCACACCCACCTTTGAGAATACTGTCTCCTTGTACCAGAGCTGTCACACAGGGTGCCAGAGAAGCCCCTGGATGGCTGCAAGGACTTCTTTTGAAGAGGAAACACCTGATGCTGCCCTTCTGCATTTCCTATCCTTTATCCTTCTGAATAGACTGGGACCAAGTGTGGCTTAACTTGTGAATCTAAGTATCTACTGGAAGCTATGAAGTCTCTGTGGTGGGTGCGGCAGAATCAAATTAAGATTTACAGAAAAGGTCTCTTCTGATAGTTTCAAGAGGACATGATGCAGAAAATGTACTTGTTTCCTGTAAAGCAGAGGGAACATTTTTCTGTAATACTGTCCACAGTCAAGTTTGAAGACGTCAAATAATATTTAAGGAATCACTATGTGCTGGGCTGTACTAATTACTATTAAATATGCATTTTCAGAAAAGACCCACTCTAAGATATAGTTTTAGGTACAAGCCCTAGGTTATTCAAATGGAAACATATGCATGCTGTGTTAATAATAGCATAATAAAACCCCACAATATATATTTTAGCTTGCTTCTCATGAGCAAAGATAAGATCAATATATAATGGGTACCATAAAATATCAATGTTAAAGGGAAATTTACATCAAAGCAAGCTTTATTTGTGTAATATAGACTAGCTTTAGCTTTCCTCCTTAAATTTATTTCACAAATACATATATCTGATGCAGAAAATCTGAAAATAAAGATAAGTAAAATAAAACTAATCACCTGACATGACAAATTTTAAGAGAAAATCATTCTACTATTTTACTGAATGTCCTTCCAGACTTTTTCCTATTACATATATTCACGTTACACACACTTCTTTGCAGTCTCTCCTCCACTTTTATCTTAACAATACATGCTGAATATTTTTGCATCTCAATATTTATTTGTATCATTTTTTCCTTAATGGGATTTTTTCTGATTACAAAAATAAGATCATACAAACTTATTTTTTAAAATGTCTACTTTGTAATGTAACTCACATTACATAGAAAGTGAGCTGGCTAGCTCACTTTACAAACTCATTATTTCAAATGGTATCAATTGATTTTCATAACTGTTCTTGCTAGACAATGATTTCACCTGCAAAGAACCTTCTTTCAATATTTAACATCTAATTTTGTCTTCTTGTTTAAACTGGACAACTCTTCCAAGTTTTTTTTTTTTTTTTTTTTGAGGAAGATCAGCCCTGAGCTAACATCCATGCTAATCCTCCTCTTTTTGTTGAGGAAGACCTGCTCTGAGCTAACATCTATTGCCAATCCTCCTCCTTTTTTTTTTCCCTTTTTTAGTCGACAGTTGTACATCACAGTTGCACATCCTTCTAGTTGCTCTATGTGAGACGCGGCCTTCAGCATGGCCGGAGAAGCGGTGTGTCGGTGCACACCCGGGATCCGAACCCAGGCCGCCAGTAGCGAAGCGCGAGCACTTAACTGCTAAGCCACAGGGCCAGCCCCATGGCCAACTCTTCCAGAACAGTGAGTAACAGTGATAACTTTCACGTGCAATTCTGGGGATTATCTCGTTCTGTACAGTTTATTAAAAAAGTTCTTATATTAATAAGCCTAAATAATAATGATGATAATGGCTTATGTTGAATGCTATTTTAAAGGTTTTACATATATGAGTTAATTTAAACCTCACAACAATTCTACAAGGTAGGTACCATTACCTCCAGTTTACAAATGAGAAAACTAAGGCACAAAGATGTTATTAGAATTTGTCCGAGTCCACCCAGTTAACAGTAAGAGGCAGAGCTGAGCTCTGAATACAGGAACTCTGGCTGAGAGCAAGCATGCTTATTTTTTTAAACTTTTTCTTTGAAAGAACTAAAAGCCTACAAAAAAGTTGCAAGAATATTACAACCAATTCCCAGGAACTTTCACCTTGAGCCACCCTTTGTTAACATTTTGCCCCAACGGCCTTATTTTTCTTTCTCTAAATTTATGTGTGTGCTACACATTACTCTTGTTATTTTATTCATTCATTTTTTTCTCCGAAACCACGTCAGAGAAAGTTGCAGAGATCACGACCCTTCAAAGCATGTGCTCAAACACTGCACCATACTGCCTTCAAAATGCGTCTGTGTATATTATGTTGCACAGTATAGGTTCAAGCCCCTCTTTGGCTAATAGCTTTCAAGGACTTCTAAATAGATTCATGGGGAAATTTTGAGAATTCAAGTAGGAAGCTCTGAAACTGTGATCTGAACGACTTGTTTTAGTATTAGAAGCACTGCATAGTCATTAGCAAAGTTTCAAGAGTGCTGTTCACCAAATCTAGCTGACACTCAGGCCACTGGCTAAGCAAAACACAAAAACAACACGACTTACGAGTATAATGATTTATCATAAAACAAAAAATAAATAATATCCTGGCTGACCAGTCCAATCCAGTTAACTTAATGAGAAGTACGTTCTGTAAGTTATCAAATGTACTGTACATACTCACCACAGTAAACACTGGGGATACACTGGCTAAAGTGGCTTGAGAGACATCAGAAGTTCTAAACCGGTGCACTTCACCTGAAGAACGAATAGAGAATTCCCTGTGATCATACAATTGTTTTCACACATAGCTAAGATACAACTTTCATAGCATGTGGAGGTCTTCAGACTATTTTACTACATTTTGAAACTTTTTCCTAGAGGAAAAAGAAGAAACACTCTTATTTGTTAATTTTAATATTTGTAGGTGATTAAGCTAGGTGTGGCAGGGAATAATTTTTAAAAGGAATGGCTTAGGGCCGGCCCCGTGGCTTAGTGGTTAAGTGCATGTGCTCCGCTGCTGGCGGCCCGGGTTCGGATCCCGGGCGTGCACTGACGCACCGCTTCTCTGGCCATGCTGAGGCCGCATCCCACATACAGCAACTAGAAGGATGTGCAGCTATGACATACAGCTATCTACTGGGGCTTTGGGGGAAAAAGTAAATAAATAAAATTATTAAAAAAAATAAAATAAAAGTAACGGCTTAGGTGAGGCATTAGAACAATTTATAGATTCCAACCACCCTTTTAAAACCCTTTCTAATGATTACTGATATCTCAGAGTTAGATGAACAAATGTACAACAGTGTTCTGAGATTAAACAAAAATGTCCATTCTTTCTTCAATAATTTAAAAAGGCTCTTCGCGGCCGGCCCCGTGGCGTAGCAGTTAAGTGGGCGTGCTCTGCTGCTGGCAGCAGGGGTTCAGAGCCCGGGCGCGCACTGACACACCCCTTGTTCAGGCCATGCTGTGGCCGTGTCCCACATAAAGTGGAGGAAGATGGGCACAGATGTTAGCCCAGCGCCAGTCTTCCTTGGCAAAAAGAGGAGGATTGGCATGGATGTTAGGTCAGGGCTGATCTCTTCCTCACCAAAAAAAAAAAAAAAAAAAAAGCCTCTTCATCCAAATTATATTGGTAGATATATTTTAGAAAACATAGATCCCAAGTACCATCTGACCTTTCAGCATCTCAGTATCAGGATTATTTGACTGACCTATAAATTACAAAACCTACAGATTTTACTTCTGTGTGTTAACTTTTTTTCACAAATATAATTTATAGTGAATACTTATGAAATAACCCACTGAAGAGGAATGCAGACGCGAGTGAACTGGAATGAAGACAAATCTTTATTTGAAAATAAATCTATTTCAAACACCAGACTGAGTTGAAGTGAGCTCTGAAGTATAAGTAAGTAAATTTAATGACTGACAAAGGACACTGTTTCAAATACTACACATAAAAGAAATGGGCAGAAGGTGTAAAAATATTACCAATTATTTTACACTTCCAAAGTAATCACAGTGACTCCACAGAATGTGTAGATATATTCTCATTTCTGATCTTATTCCTTCCCGTTACATACATTTAAGGACTCATGTAATTTGTTAGCATCCGAGGTTTGTTGTTTCCCTTTTACAAAATATACACTATCTTATAAGGGTCAGCACAATCAAGGTAAAGGTGAGAGCTATAAAGCAGCATTTGCTAATCAGTCACAAGTTAAAGTGTTACCAGGACGGAGATTCTGAATCTCAATGTTTGTCCTGAAACATTAGATAGGCTGAAACTGCGTTCCCAAACATTATCAAAGGAGGGAATATGAAATGTAATCTAATTCAAAAAGAGTCTCCAAAGAGTGTGGAGAAGGAGGTGGTGACAGAGTTACTTTGGGAGTCTTTTGAGAGCACAATTGAGAAAACACATTTAAGGACAGTGTAATATTTTTGAGAAGTCATACATTTTAATGGTTTTGTTTCTGAGCAATATTAGTACCCACATTCTCACGTCTGTGATTATAATTTGGTAAAAAAATGATTCAGATTCCTCCACCCCCGACTCTGACCCCTCTGGCTGGTTACACAGTACTTGAAAACAAAGTCAGATCTTTCTTAGGAACAACTCTTATCACGAAGGCTCCAAGTCTTCCTCCTCCCTTCTAGGTGTGTTCTCACCCTTTACCTGAGCAACTGGACAACTGTTATGTGTCCATAAGGAAGAGACAGAAGTCAGGGAAGAGAAATGAATACTCATAAAAATATTCGAGGTAGATGAACCCAATCTTGACTTCTGAACTATCATGATGAATAAGGGTGAAATTCTTGGTAAAAAAAAAAAAAAACCTTCTCACAAGAACACTTAGGCGGGGAGATGTGCAGCAAGGGACGGTGGGCAGACAGAGAGCCGGGCCGGTCGGACGCTGGCAGGGCACAGAGCACAGTCGCGTTCTGAGCTGGTGGGACACAGCTCGGCCCGCGGACCCGTGCAGGTTGACAGCACACCCGGGCGCCCAAGGGCGGACCAGAGACCGAGGCCTGAGCAGGACGCGGCGCGGGGCAGCCACAGCCTCGCCGGACTGGCGGTGGGGTCGGGGACCTGAGGTCACTGCCACACCGGCGTCCAGGGCTGCGGGGGATGGGGGGGACAGTACCTGCCACGCGGAGCCGGCGGGGCCCGCACAGCAGCGCGGCCCGGCTCCCTCCGAGTAGTTCGGCTGCGCGGACGCAAGCAGCAACAGGGCGAGCTGCAGGGGTCAGGCCCAAGGCCAGAGCACACAGGGTGCGCCGGGGCAGCCCCACCGCGCGGGGCAGGAGCCAGGTCAAGCTCCGCAGGCATTCCATGGCGCTGGAGCGACGAGGAGGCAGCAGCAAGACCCCAGCCCTTCATGCCGGACGGTGGCAGAGCAACCCGCGCTCCGCGACCCGGCGCGAGCGCCCAAGGTACCGTGGCTGCGTCCCGGGCATGCGCGGGGCGCGTCGCGCGAGCGTGTTATTTCCCGCGCATGCTCAGAAGGTGCTTGGGGGGGGGGGTTGGGTAGGCTGCTTGTGTCCTGTGGCCAATCAGAGTTTGCGTCCTGTTGTGCCTGTACCTGTAAGGTGTGGGGGGACGGGCTCAGGGGTGGGTGGGGCGCGCTTAAACTGCGGGAGGCGAGCTATCGAACTTCACGTTCCGTCCTTGGGTCCTTGGAGTGGTCAGGCCCGAAAATAAAGTATTTCCATTAACTAGTAATCTTTAAATGTGAAAAAATACCCAACATGTGTATAATGCTTTGCAATTTCTGGAGTGTTTTAATACATGTAATTAAGTCTGCAACTTGGAAGTGAGGAAGTTATGCCTGTTCCCAACTCAATTTATATTTAAGTTTAATTAGCAAAAATAATTAACTGTGGTACGGAATGCTATATTAAACTTTTGCCAGTGAAGAATGAGAAATATAAACGCACAAGATTTATATTCTGCATTTAATCACCTGGAAGAGAGTATCAATTTCAAGGTACCATTATTTTATGTATCACCAAGAAAGAAAAAACGCTGATAAACTATGCTTTCTAATTATATCATTGTAAGACTCATCCGAATGTCATTCCTTAAAATCTGAAAAAGGTGAGCCTTAGAATTGATTAAGTACAGTATACGTATATGCATATTTTTGAAGTATGGATTAATAGACTTGTCCTGTCCATGGTAGTGACTTAAGGCACACACACGTTTCAGAGATTTCCATTCAATCACTACATATGATCGTAGAGCTAAGGAAACACAAGAGAGAACCATTTTTTTCTGTAGGGTATTGGGACTGGGGATGGATTAGGAGGCCAACAGACAGAGAGAAGGCTTCACAGAAGAGGGGATGTTTGACTTGAGCACTGAGGGCAAAGGAAGACATCGGGCATTGCTTCCTGGAGGGTTGAAGTCTGGAAAGAGCCATGGGTATAGAGAACATAGCTGGTAGATTTTGCATTTTACTAAGGGCACCAATGATGAAATACATCTTTCAAAAACATTACATGCCTTCAGAGACATTTCTTTAAGATAACATGTGATAACTCTTTTTAAAACTTCACCCCCAGCACAATGAGACAGCTCTGTTTAAGATGACCTTTGCCAAGCCTTAGAAAAACGCTGGGACATGGCCAGACACGTGGCCTTGTAATTCGTGGCAAGGATTTGGAATTTAATCTGAGAGGCGTGGGAGCCGTTGAGGGACTTTGAGCAGAGAGGTAATGATCTAATTTATGTTTAAATGGATTGCTCTGGCTGTGTGGTGAAGAGATTACAGAAAGGCAAGTGTGGAAGCAGAGAGATGATGATGATGGTTTGGGCTAAGGTGGAGGTGGTGGAGAGGAGGAGACAGGATGGGCTTGGTGCTATATATTGAAGACTGAGTTGACAGAATTTGCAGATAGAGTGTAAGAAAAAGAGAAGCTTAGAAGTTGACTCTAAAATTTTTGGCCTAAACAACTGGGCAATGATAGTGCCACCTACTGAGAGAGGGGATTTTGGAGAGGAGCAAGTTTAGATGGAGAGCAGGTTATGGCATGGTGTTTGTTTCTGGACATGTTAAATTTGAGAGCTCTATTAGATAGATATTTAAGCATAGATGTCAGGTAAGCAGTGTGGAGTTCGGGGGAGATGTTGGAGCTAGATATATACATTTGGGACTATGTAGAAGTATTTAAAACTGGAAGATTGGGTAAGATCTCTTAGGAAGTGAGACAGCGAAAAGTTCCTATGATTGAGCTCTAGATCCTCCAGCCTTTAGTGGTCGAGAAGAGGAGATGGATCCAGCAGAAGAATACAAGAAGGAGTGGCCAGGAAGAAGGAGTAAAATCAGAGAGGGTGGGATCCTTGAAGTCAAGTGAAGAAAGTGTTTCAAGAATGAGGACGCGATCAGTTATGTTAAATGCTACTGATAGGTAAAATGAGAAATGAGAATTGCCTGTGTTGGGCATGACACTGGAGTTTACTGGTGATTTTGATAAGAGCAGTTTTTTGTGTGTGTGTGAGGAAGATCCGCCCTGAGCTAACACCTGCCAATCCTCCTCTTTTTGCTGAGGAAGACTGGCCCTGGGCTAACATCTGTGCCCATCTTCCTCCACTTTATATGGGAGGCAGCCACAGCATGGCTTGCCAAGCGGTGTGTTGGTGCGCGCCCAGGATCCGAACCTGCGAACCCCGGGCCGCCGCAACGGAGCGCACGTACTTAACCGCTTACGCCACAGGGCCAGCCCCAATAAGAGCAATTTTGATAGAGTGGTAGGGAGTGGGACCTGGATCATCGTCTTCCTTTTACCCCCAAGCTGGACCGGATCCTAGAAGATTTCTGCACCTCTATAACACATTTGGCCTTAACATTCCTTAACCTCTTTCCTTGCCTCTTGAGCTCCAAAGCACGTGAATTACGTAATCCCAGCCTCACACTCTGGGTTGTGTTCTCACCAGAACTGTTTCACCTCAGAAATGTTATGCCAATAACCCAGTCTCTGACCATAGCCTCCTGGAGGCTTTACACCCACAAGGATTATATTCTCCCCTCAAATCCTTCCTGGCTGCTCTTCCTTCTCTCCCCAACCCAGATTATGTAACTGACCATCTGAAACCACTATGACTCGTACTTGGAACATGTAGCACTCATGGGGGTGTAATCATAGAAGCCACTTTATTTTTGTCCCTTTAATCCTGCTGAATGGGGCTAGTCCTTCTCCTGCCTCTTGAAAACTTGGGCAGGTTCCATGACTTTTCTGGTCTCTCAGGCCTATGTTTGATACTGGCTCTGATATCTGTTCCCCTACACTAAACCCAGAATATATGGGGTTAAAACCAAAAACACTTATCCTCTTTCCCTGCTTCTCTAAAGTTGCTGATGACCAGTTCTTGAGGTTTGTTACAGGGAAACTGATATCCAGAGAATATCAAGAAGCTAAAGCTTCTCAGCCCTCAACTCCTTGGCTTTCTGGCACCAGAATCCACCATCCACCACAGAGACAGAAAACCAAGGACACCTGCAGATTCCCTTATCTCACCATCCTCCTCCCTGCAGGCAGCCTCACAAGGCCAAATGCAGGCTGTTGGGAAAGTGCCGACCAGCAAGGCCACAGGCTCCCCTCCCTACAAGCAGCTACATTCCTCAAAACCTTTAAAACCCCTTTGACTTCCATCTTTCCAGGAGAAGGGACAAATTTGAGACCTCTTGTCTCCTGGCTGACATCACCCGAAATAAAACCTCTTTCCTTGCCATAAGCCTGGCGTTCCAGTTTTATTTGGCCCCTCTTATGTGGCGGGGAAAGAACCTGGGTATGTATCTGGTAACATGTTCACTCTGGTCTCAATTCAGTCATTTAAAACGTCCATTCCATATACTAATTTCAATTCAGTGATTTGCAATGTCAGACCCAATAATCACCACTTCAGTCTTTCAAAGGAAAGAGTTGGTTCCTCTCTCCCTGTTGGCCCTGGAGGCAAATAGGAATTTTTGTTGTGAGTAGAGATTCTGAGCAGCTCTCTCCACCCGTTCCTACTGGCCTTTCTTACTCCAGGGCTGCTGTTTCTGACTGCTGGGGCACTGAAGCAAAGCAAGCATGAACCAAAAGTTTTTATTGAAAGATGGCATCATGTTCTCTCTAGGCAGGGCAGATTTTAAAGCTGACTTCATTGTGGGCATATTCATGGGTTCTCCAGAAGACCTCCCCCGACACCCCACACCCCCGCCCCCATTCCAGGCCCATCTGGTTGCCATTCCTTTGATGTGGGCAGTGACCCTCCTGATGGCTTTCAGATTCTGCCCCTTCTTGCCTCAAATGGCCAGGTTCTTCTCTTCCTGACATGCTGCTCTTCTGGGCACAATACTTTTAAAAACAACCCCAGGCTGATATTCCTATTGTCACGTCTGCACCCCAGGATTCATGCCCTTTAGAGGGAGTGCAGTGACTTCCCTGGCACAGAGCTGCTATCTCTTGCTCAGTTGTGAGTCTGTGACTCCTTCAAGCCCTTGGAGTGGTCTAAAGAAGTTCCTCTCACTAGACTTTAAGTGAATGGGCAAGCACTTCCCCTACCCCTTTCTCTTGATGGTCCTCAGGAGGTGGGATTCCCACAGCACAGCTTTTTCCAAATCTTCCATACAATACTTGCCCCTAAGTCTTCAGTCTTACAATCCTTTTATACCTTCTGTCTGGGTGAGAGGCCCAAGAGTCGTGTGATGGCTTCTCAGATTATTCCCTTTGGAAATTGCATCTGGTGACCCATCTGGTAACTCACTTTGGTGCTGATACCCTATCCTGGCACCTCAGTGGAAGCACCTGCATTCCTCAGCACCCTCGATTCTTTTGCCCTTCTTTTATTTTTTTTGTTAATGCATTTATTTCACAAATATTTACTGAGCACAAACGATGTGCCAAGTATTATTTTAGTTCTAGGGATAGAGGAGTGAATGAAACAAAGTCCCTGTCTGTCATGAGTTGAATAGAGGGCCCCCAAATATATGTTCACTCAGAACCTCAGAATGTGACCTTATTTGGAAGTAGAGTGTAGATTTAACTAGTTAAGGATCTCAAGATGAAATCATCCTGCATTTAGGGTGTGACCTAAGTTCAACCACTAGTGTCTTTATCAGAGAAATGAGAGGGAGATTTGGACACACAGACAGACCGAGGGAGAAGAACGCTATGTGAAGATGGGGGCAGGGATTGAAGTTATGCTGCCACAAGCCAAGGAACACCAGAAGTCAAAAGAGGCAAAGAAGGATTCTCCATGTCCATGCAAAATAACCAGTAACCACTCTATAGATAAGAAAGATAAGGGGAGTTTGACTTTAGTTCAAGCCGAATCAGTTTTGAACCAGAATACTTACCCCATATACCTCAATATGTGAACTCTTGTCATCCCTGACAAGAACAAAAGAAGCCTGACTTAGGGCCTATCAAACATACATTGTACATCTGCTTAACCATTGAAGTAAAGGATACACTCTCTTAAAATAAGAAT